CGACATGCTTTTTTTATACTCCCTAAAAAATAAAAAATATGCACGTGGACCGTACAAGCAGGATTTACAATTCAGTATGTTAAAAAAAAAGTATTCCTGCACGGTGGTTAATAGGTCTATGAAAAAAAAAACACCTCATCCTTTAGAGCAGCCGTTCTTTAACAGCGTACAAGCTTATGTATACACATTCTATGCCTCACGACTGCCTGGATTAGTGCTGGAGCAGCCTATCGGGGTAAGCTGTCTCTCGAGAAATGGAAAGTGATTGGTCATGTTAATGAATCGTTAGCTGGAATTGTATCTACATGGTCAAGCTTTGAGGGGCTTGCAGGTCTGTCAGTTGTCACTGACCCAGAGTCCAAAACATTTTGAATGCCAAGCTTAGAGTGGTCTTACATCGGTGTACTTAACATATTAAGAGTTCTAGCTGGCTTTATACTCTGTACAATAATGTATATCTCAGACTGCATGTTACGATTTGCATTACGTGTACTGGATTGATTGCAGTACACGTAATGCAAAGGGGCAGATTCCTAAAGAAAGGGCCGGTACTGATCACATGCACTAGTCACAGCAAATCTAGCCTGCTTGGCTTCCTGATGGGTTTTATAGTGAAAGTCTTTCCTTCCTAAAGCGTTTTGTAATCATCCCAAATCTCTTGAATTGCTCCGTTCATCTTTACCTTGTTATAACAGCTTACCCTTTTCCTGCCCAGAGGTTAAACTAAAGTTGGCCATATATATTCAAACCAAAAATCGGAAGGAAAATCGCAAGTCAATGGAGGGTCCGGTGACTTGCAATTGTACCTTCAGATCCATTAGGTTACGATTTCCTTCCTATCCGTTGTGTTGCGATCCGTTTTTCCATGCTAATGGAAGGCGCCGAAAAATTAATGGGTGCGAATGGGGTTAGTTAACACCGCATCCGTTGAAAAAAAGTAGCGCATGTTCTACTTTCTTTTCAGCGCAACATAATTAACGGAGCAGTGTGAACTAGGCCAATTCACACCCATTCATATCCGTTGAAAAACGGAGCCTGTATAATTTTTTTCTCATTCATCCCTGTGGGCTAAACCAGAAGAAAATGCTTGATTCCCCCATCCATGCTGAACTATTGTATTCTGACAGCAGTGGGTGTGCCGCTGTCACAATACCCAAACGCTGACTGCTGCTTATTGGCTGGAGAGCACCTTGGAGGGTCACTGGCAGCAACCCTCTCGAAGTGTGTGTTCTCTTTCTCACTTTCCTGTTCTTCTCAACTTCCAAAACAGGTTAGGATCTGATTGATGAGTGCAAGAAACCTCTGAAATCTAATGCTATATTTTACATTAGGCTTTCTGTATACAAGTCAGAGCTGGATAAATCACAGGAGACAGGTAATCAATGCTCCCGAAAAATGACAGCTGGCGTCTAACTTTTAAAGTTTTCTCTAGTTGTTGCCAATGGAGCTGCTGCATTAGATTGGACTGACAGGCTCCTGAATTCCACTTAGTTTTTCTATCCCTGATTTAACAGACAGCAGGGAGCCCACGTTTCCTGTGTGCAAAACAACCGTGTGATCGGACCCCAGCCTGCTACCGCGCATGCACAGGATTTCTGAACGAGAGTGCTGGGCAGTCTGCGCTAGAGCTGCAACAGTTAATCGATTAAAATCGGACGGTTGAAAACGTTGGCAACGTTTTCGATCGTCGATTCGTCATCTATCGACTGATCAGCCTGTTCGGGGCCCCACGCGCGGCCTGAGTCACACGCTGCGATCACACATAAGCCACGCCCACCGCTGGTCTCCTCCTCGCCCGCCACATAAGCCACGCACACTGAGGACATGCGTCTGGCCCTCTCCTCCCGGTGAGCTTCCCGACTCGCCGCTGCCCGCCGACAACGCTGTCATTCAAAGTAAGTCGAGATCGGCCGGGAGCTTTTTAACGTTTCCTGTTTTTTTTGTTTTTTTAAAGCGGCACACTGCAGAACATAATACATTAAACAGCCTGTATAATGTATTATTGCTGGGATTTGTAGTCCCACATCACTGGAGCCTTTTTAAAAAAAAAATCCGATGAATCTAAATGAATAAATCAGCTAACTAATCGATTATGAAAATAATCGTTAGCTGCAGCCCTAGTCTGCGCAGTAGCAGGCTGAGGGCCGAACACATAGGCGCTGTACACATAGGCAGATCCCGGAGAGTGGTGTCTGCCCAGCTGGCTGAGGGACTGGTAGGGTAATGACTGTTGTAACGCCCATGCCCGTGCACTTTTTTCCTCCATCTTGTGAAGGAGGGAAAATCTGACATTATCAGACCCATGCTAGTCTATGGGCAGCCGGATCTAAAAGGATGGCTGTCCATTTACATATGGTTACCCCCGATCAGGTCTGGTGAAACGGATTTTTGACCCCCTTTGCTTTTCCAGACCTGGCCAGGAGCCACGGGTGACCAGATGTAAACGGACGCCCGCCTGTTTACATACGCCAGTCTATAAAACCAACATTGGCCTGAGAAACTGACATGCCGACCTGATCGGAAAGCCCGTGTTAAAATGTATTTTCATAATAAGTAGTCAAATATTAACTGTTCGAACTTTCGCAGCACTGTTTATGGTCTGACCAGTATATACATTCCTGGCTGATGACATGCTCAACAGGCCTACAGGATTTTCCATCACAAGACTATACGGCCAATCATATAGGACTGTATATGTGTACAGTATACATAGAACAGGTCACCTCCAGGCTACACTCCTGTGTCCGTCTGCTCTGATTTTAAAACAAATACAAGACACACACAGGGGAATTTATCAAAACTGGAGCAGCTGGGCATGACAACCAATCAGCTTCTCTCTTCAGTTTGTTCAGTTAAGACTTGCCAATGAAAGAGAGAAGCTGATTGGTGCTGTGCACAGCTGCTCCTGAATCCCACTCACAGTCTTATTGGGCCTAATGTTTACATTCTGAACTCTAGCATGCTGCATCTCCTCATGTTTACAGTGCAGAGTACTAAACATAGAGATGTCATCCCAACTATCCAAATGTTACTCTAAAAATATAATACGGAAAAATATATGGTTTTAAAGAATAAAGGCTTCTGATATTTCACGCTGTCACAAACACTGAGCCGGTTGGATAAAAAATAAAACCGCACAGCCAACCCATAAACGTGCGATGTTAGTTTTCCTACGCAGTGTAAATATTTGGAAAACGTTGGGAGTCTAAAACATTAAGAATGTAAAAGAAAAGAGACGGAAAGAGAGAGGGAAATGCGAGGCTCCCCTCCCCCACCATACACAAACACTGGGCAGACCAGTGACAAATCTCACCTGTCACTGGGCTGTAGTCACCACTGGGTCAGCTCACAGCTCCAGCACAGTTTATGTTCCTAACGTCATGTTTATCTAAAGGCCATACTGATTTCTGGGATTAAGGGATTGCTCCCGCCGGCTCCCAGACACTAAGACAAGGCAATCTGCGTTCAGTCCTATGGCTTCACTTCACACCAACGTGTTGGAAATAAAATAAAAATGAGGACATGTTGCATTGCTGTGCAGCGTGTCCCCATGTGCTAGAATGCACTGCATATCAATTACATACATGCCATGTGCTTCAACAACGCACACCAGCGCAGGCTTGTTATGGCAGAAGAGACATGCGCTGTCCTTTCTTTAATAAACAAACTTGTCTGTCTCTTCTTTAACATGTACACTGACCTGTGCGTGCTTACAAGAGTTCCTTCATCTTGTCACTCAGATCACATGTGCATTCAGTGTACATTCTCAGTGCTGAGAAAACTCTGCACATGTACACCTCACTGCCACACAAAGGAACTCTTGTACACATGCACACTTTAGGTGCCCATACACCTTACGACCATCGCAAGACTTGTCTTGCGATGGTCTTAAGCTTATTAAAAGCTCGTACAGATGATCTGCCCATCTTGGACAGGCAGATCGTACTTGTGATCATCGCAAGCCCGCCCCGCTGAGGGGCGTACTTGCGATCACCGACCCGTTCGGCAGTTGTCGCACACCGGCCCACTAACCCGCCGAGAAGGTTTTCCAGCCTGCTTGTCCGACGGAAGACGTGCGACCGTACAGTAGAAACTGTTGCACGCCTTCCATACACTGCACGATTCTCGTACGATCACTGGATTTCCCGCGATTCTCGTACAGTGTATGGGCACCTTTAGTGTCCATTTTTAGCACTGGGATGAATGAACTCCTGTGTGCATGTGGTGTATATGATCAGTGCCGAGATGTATGTAGCGCCCCCCTCCCCATTAGCATGTGCAAGAGAAGTACATTCTCAGTGTGTGAATGAATGACCTCCAGTATACATTCTCAGTGCTGGGGTGACTGTATCCCTATACGCATTCAGTGTGCATTCCTAGTGTGTGGATGAATGTACCCCCTATACGAAAGTGCACTCAGTGTATATTCTCAGTGTGTGGACGAATGTACTCCCTATATGCATGTGCATTCAGCCTACATTGTCGGGGGTAGGATGAATGTACCCCTATACACATGTGCATTCCATGTACATTTTCAGCGCTGGGATTAACGGCTGTGTGCATGCGGTCTACATTCTCAGTGCTGGGATGAATGTACCCCTATACACATGTGCATTTCAGTGTACATTTTCAGTGCTGGGATAAATGAACTCCCGTGTGCACATGTGCAGCTCTGTGTACATTCTCAGCACACCTAAGTGCTGCAATACATCAATTTCCATATGCATGTGCAGGAGTTACATCATCCCACATTGGCCTATAAAGACACCCAAAGAAGCCAGGGAGCTCTCTAATGTATGTGTGCCCCTTAGTTCCTGTTTAATCTGGAGAGATTTGCACTCACTTCCTGTTGTGTAGCGAACAGGAAGTGAAGGAGAATCCCCCCAGGTGGCACAAAAGAAAAGCTGACAGGCTGGAACCCTATGCAGTAGAAGTTTGGTGTTGAGTCAGACAGAAGGGAAAGTTGAGTGTAGTAGTAGGTAGGTGTGTGCCCCTCTCACCTTCCACCCCGCAGAGCTGTTGCTGTCCCCCTTGTCCTTGAAGTAGGGCACGGAGCGGACCATCCAGTCATAGATCTGGGACAGGGTGAGCCTCTTGTCCGGGGAGCTCTCAATGGCTCTGGTGATGAGGTCTGCATAGGACATGTTCCCCCAGGCATTCCTCCGGGACGAGCACTTCCTCTGCTGCCCGGCAGCCCCGCTCACAGAGCCCGCACCTC